ATCTATCTATCTATCTATCTATCTATCTATCTATCTATCTATCTATCTATCTATCTATCGAAGCAGGGTTTCTCTGTATAGCCCTAGGTGTCCTGGAACTCACTTTGTAGACCAGGCTGGCCTCTAATTTAGAGATCTGCCTGCCTCTGCTTCCCAAGTGCTGGAATTAAAGGCCATGCACCAACATGAAAACTGATTTTTTTTTAAAGGTTGACAATTCTGTTTCAAAATCAATCTAAATAAAGACATCTAAGGGCCACTAGGACCTCAGAGTCCCTGGGCAATTCCTCTATTCTATAACTCCAGGCAATCTCTATTCAACTTACCTCTCTGTGATACCTAAGTACTATAGGGTTATGGGGTATATTTGCAGTTTCAACCATCAGGAGACTGAGGCAGGAGGATAGAGAGTTGGCGACCAGCCTGGAATGTACAGCAAGAACCTGTCTAAAAAAAATAAAACCCGGGGTTGTAGAGATGGCTCAGCGGTTAAGAGCACTAACTGCTCTTCCAGAGGATCTGAGTTCAATTCCCAGCACCCACATGGAAGCTCACAACCATCTGTAACTTCAGTCACAGGAGACCTGGTACCTTCACGCAATAAAGAAATAAATACCTAAAGGCTTCTTTCAGAATTGTCCTAAGAATGTCATGCAGTCACAGATTTGAAGTGCAAAGTCACGTTCTTTAATGTCAATTACAATATCACCGTCGGGGGTGGTCCCTGAACTAGGGCAGACCTAAGGAGAACCACTTGTAGGGAAACTAGGTCCTGCGGCAGTGTGGATGGTGCCAGATGCCCCGGTGTGAGCATGCTTAGACATTGAACATTGAGACCTTAATAGGGCCCTGTATAGACTCCCACCAGGAAGTCTGCCTGGCCAAGAGTCCCCAAAAGAAAGCTCTGGGGTTTCACATAATGGCTCTGGTTTCCTTGGTCCTGCCTGGGGTTCATTAATCAAGAAGGGTAGAGATTAGCAGTCACTGCCCCCTAAAAGGTCTTCTCTTGAGGCATCCTTCTGTCCTTCATCCATCCATCCGTCTGTCCATGGGCTCCCCAGGTCCCCTTTTCCCTTGTTTCAGAGGCTTCCAGCTGCTGTCACCCCTGAAACAAAGGAGGTGACAGAAATGTGGGCACCTGAGTGAACAGACAGAGCATGGATGGATAGATAGACAGAGATATGAGTGGCCAAGCAGAGAATTGATGGGTGAGTGGGTGGATGAAGGCATGGATGGATGTGTGGATGGATGGATGGATGGATGGATGGATGGATGGATGGATGGATGG